AATCCTCAACTAGTTCCAATTAGATAATGACGTTAACACTATTCTGGACGCGCTCGTTCAGGCTCCATAAATTTGGTCTCGTTAGTACAAGGCAACAACTAATTTAGTCATGTTTGTATATAGCCACTAATTTGGTGACGATCGTACTACACCACTAATCAGTCGTGCAGCGATCGTGCTTCGGTTTGTACACTAATCACATCGTATACGAACAGTGGCACTAATCATGCCTCGTTCGACCAACGCCTCTCGTCGGTTCTTGCTCTATTGGAGAGACCTCTATCAGAGAAGTAAACTTCTCTGATATAAATAGAATATCTGAATGCCATACTACTAGACTATCCTGCTAAGCTTCAATCATCTGTCATCCTACCACTGCTGTCCTGCAGGTGGTGGGCGGACAGTGAAACATGATGACCCACGTATGACATTGTCCCTAAAACTGCAGATAGTTGAGATAGTCAAAGAGTAAAAGACTCGTTCATAAACATGTCCTTGTAAGGAGAGTGCTCTGTGAAATCCAGGCTCAGGACTACAGATTTCGTGATGCCACGGGGACCTGTTTTGTTCAAAACAAACTATATAGGCGTCTTGTATCTACCGCCGAGTTGTATGCTGTAGTGAACAACGCCATGTAGGTAAACTACTACGTCTCATTTCGTACGCAATGGCCTTCAACGAACATATTACATAGTGTGAAAAATAGCGGCTCGCCGATATTCACCGTTTCTATATATCGGTAGGTTTGGCTAGGATAGGTGGGTTGCTTGGGGTCGTACGTTTCCGGGTAGGTTAGCACCTTGTATTTTATACGTGGTGGCAAATCAAGAGAACAGGCTGGGCAAACAACTCAAGCAGCGCAACAAAGAAGGACAACAATTAGCCCAATAGTCATATCATAATCGAAAATAAATCAACACACTTCGATGGTAATCCTACAGATGTCGCAATAGAAATCAATAGGGGTCACCTCAGAGTCTTCGTCATACCAAAGATATTGCAAACCACGTGATCCATATCTAGCGAAAGTGTACCTAACTTGAAGGTAACGATCAAAACTCTAACATAACTCGAACAAAACTCGCACATTAGTCTCGATTGGCCAAACATTATGGCATGCTGAACCACTTGTGCTTGGAGACATCGATCCAAGTCACAAAAAAAACAAGAGGAGACGGTCGAGGTGTTAATCAGTTCCACTTCACCCTTAGGCAAGGTGAGGACCAGGGTTCCTCACCTACTGTCATTCCCAGGTGAGGTAAAAATTAGGGTATGTCCTACGCATCTGTTACATCTCAGACATCTGTCTCTGTAGGGACACGTGTGAGGTGAGTATTAATTATCTTCTTTCAAGAGGCAGATATCATATGAGGCAAATGCGAAGTGCCTCTCAACAACCTTTCTCAAAGTAAGGTAAATATACATTTAACTGTTGGGAAACTGCTTTTTATATATTCTGTGTGCATTCCCCAGATCTGCTTAAACAACATGTGAGGTCAGCTTATTACTGTAGCATTTAAGTCATGCTAATATAATAAACTAATCCTGTAAATGAAGATAAAACTTAAAATAATTCGGTTTTCTTAAGTCTGGGTACTATAGAATGTAACTTTTAGTTCACTTGTGCGTTGTATGAAGAGATACTCAAGGCGTGCGTCTATCAACGTGCGTTAAACGTCGTGTCGAACGTCGTACGTCTTGGATAATCATTCTCATCAATTGGGTCGAGGTTATAACCGCTCTCGTGTCAGTGTTGCATGCTGATTTTCTTAGCTATTATGATTGGTAGAGGGTGGGTGTGGCCTGTTTTGATGGTTGATGAGATGATATTCATCATATCATTGATAATGATCTACCTTATCACATCTGTGGATACAGAACTATTAGTGATGGTGACGACCACTTCGAGGACCGTCTTGTCACAGCCACTTTCATTGTACCACCCTAGAGCGACATCTTAACTAGGATAAGGTCACTCATCTCGATTAGTTTAAGTGCCTTCTGAATCGTGAACTTGCTACTATTTCTAATTAAACATTTAAAATAGGTTGTGCGAATATTCTGTGTAATGCGCACCAAAATCAATTTAATTAAAAATTTTTACACATATTTGAATGCCAATTGAAAAATAGAGCATTCCTCTTAACTAAACAGGAGAAGATCTCATCAGCTAACTCGTTATTTTTGTCTGTTTGTTTCTTCTATGGAACAAAGATAATATTTTTTAAGCATTAGCATATCTCTGCCTACTCTAACTTTATCAGAATTATATTTCGTTTTGTCGGGGGACAGGCAGCCTGGGAATATATACACATTAAGCTTTATGCTCCCCCCCCCCCATCTTTCCCCTCTTTTCTAAGGTCGAACTACTGACTCTTCCGATAATATAACCCCACAACAATTAGCTAACTCCCATGTACCTATGTTACTGCTAGGTGAACAGAGTCATTAGGTGGAGAGAAAATGTGCCCAACCATTTCTGTCCCGCCCGGGAGTCGAATCCGGGATCCCCGATGGTAAATCGAGACCGAAGTCAATTAGCTTTGCCGTTTGCATTATGGAATTTCATAATTACAATGATTTCCAATTATGTTGTGACTCATGCAAATTGATACCGTGTATTTCTTGGTAAACTACATAAATTATGGTGACAGATGTGGCAAATGACGTTGGGAAGTGTGACAAATTATATTTGGCAGGGATAACAAAAGATGTTGACAGCCGTACCGTGAACTTCAATTGCAAGCATCAACACCATCAATGTTGCGACTGTCCTTGCACGCGTCCATTCTGCAAACTACTAGTATGACTTACGCCGTTCATACTAGTTCAACAGTTCCTTTGTCCGCGGTCTTTATAAAATTTAAGATGTTTGTGCGAGCCCACTAATCATCGTATGCTTTTAAGGTTGCAAGTGCCTTCCCACACGCGACCTCACTCAACACGTCAAGTACACTTTACAGTCAGTTTTGTATGGCTTTCTCTTTGTGTTAATTCTTTATATTTTAGATATGCTGATATCTTCTTCCAGCTAGAGATGGAATCCCCATTTTTCATATATATATATATATATATATATATATATATATATATATATATATATATATATATATATATATATATATATATATATATATATATATATATATATATATATATATATATATATATATATATATATATATATATATATATATATATATATATATATATATATATATATATATATATATATATATATATATATATATATATATATATATATATATATATATATATATATATATATATATATATATATATATATATATATATATATATATATATATATATATATATATATATATATATATATATATATATATGTCGTACCTAGTAGCCAGAACGCACTTCTCAGCCTACTATGCAAGGCCCGATTTGCCTAATAAGCCAAGTTTTCCTGAATTAATATATTTTCTCTAATTTTTTTCTTATGAAATGATAAAGCTACCCATTTCATTATGTATGAGGTCATTTTTTTCTTATTGGAGTTAAAATTAACGTAGATATATGATCGAACCTAACCAACCCTACCTAACCTAACCTAACCTATCTTAATAGGTTAGGTTAGGTTAGGTGGCCGAAAAAGTTAGGTTAGGTTAGGTTAGGTAGGTTAGGTAGTCGAAAAACAATTAATTCATGAAAACTTGGCTTATTAGGCAAATCGGGCCTTGCATAGTAGGCTGAGAAGTGCGTTCTGGCTACTAGGTACGACATATATATATATATATATATATATATATATATATATATATATATATATATATATATATATATATATATATATATTATATATATATATATATATATATATATATATATATATATATATATATATATATATATATATGTCGTACCTAGTAGCCAGAACGTACTTCTCAACCTACTATGCAAGGCCCGATTTGCCTAATAAGCCCAGTTTTCATGAATTAATTGTTTTTCGACTACCTAACCTACCTAACCTAACCTAACCTAACTTTTTCGACTACCTAACCAAACCTTACCTATAAAGGTAGGTTAGGTTAGGTTAGTTAGGGTTGGTTAGGTTCGGTCATATATCTACGTTAATTTTAACTCCAATAAAAAAAAAGTGACCTCATACACAATGAAATAGGTAGCTTTATCATTTCATAAGAAAAAAAGTAGAGAAAATATATTATTTCAGGAAAACTGGGCTTATTAGGCAAATCGGGCCTTGCATATTAGGCTGAGAAGTGCGTTCTGGCTACTAGGTACGACATATATATATATATATATATATATATATATATATATATATATATATATATATATATATATATATATATATATATATATATATATATATATATAAATAATAATAAAAAGTCATATTTATACTAAACTATGGAAACTTTTAGGTTTCCGTAGACGTACTTTTCTGTTGATTTTATTTTGATTTTTGACATGTTCAATGTTTTACCATTAAATACCTTATGTTTGTAATTGTATTTTATCATACATTGAGCAAATAGTAAAATTTTCATAGGATTGTAAAACACCAAATATATACCATTCAAACTGCCTAATACTCTAGTTTATTACTTTTATATATGAGAGATTATGACCATCAACTGATGGCATGTAAACTAATAAAGGTACGAAAGTTTATTACTTTCTTATTACTAAGAAGGTAATAAACTAAGAATCCTTCATAGACAGGAATGTAACTGAATCAAGTATAATATAGTATAGCAATAACACCTAAAACAGTATATTTGGTTCCGTAAAAGTAATCCATAAGTGTAGAAAGAACATTTAAGATGACAAATTGTTACATGTGTTAAGGTGTGTGTTGGAGAACGATTGATTGGTCATTGAACAGCTTCAGCTGATTTTTTGCTTTATATATTGACATTTAACACCATGATATATTTTTTTAATTGTTTAGAAGTTCATGATTATGCTTTGTTCTGTCTCCTCCTCGGGTAAAGATAGTCGCGTGTTGCCGAGTGCCACAGTGCACCTGGATGAGTGTCGGGTTAGCTACGAAGGTGATGAGTCTCTGGTGCCTGGTGGTGGGGATGGTGGTGGTGCTGACGGAGGCGACCACAGCGCCCCCTGGAGCCAACGGGCAGGCTGTAGGTAAGACGCTCCAGCCTCTTGTGAAGATCGAGGTCTACCTTTCCTTCGGGACACTGTGGTGTGTTGCAGAGCTTATTCTAACTGTGGTGATTCAAAAATACAGTGATTATTGTAAGCCATGTTGTTAGCTAATTTTTCTACCAAACTGATTCAGCTCTATGATGCCGGATCATTAACCTTTTGTTAGTCTCATACCGCGTATTTCGACAGAGTGGCTGGTGTATACACTGTCATCTGGCGGCGGCAAGGGCGATAAGGTGACGCGAATGGTACTTAGCCTGACGGAAGTGCTTGGGCCCGAAGCGGCGTCTGCCAGCCTGGCCAACTTCACCCTGTGCCTGTGGTTCAGAGTCTCCACCTTCCTGGAGTTCAGCACTGTGGTGAGCTATGCCATCTCCAACGAATCTTCCGATTCCATCTTCATAAGTGAGTTGTGTTCATAAGTGAATTGTGTTCATAAGTGAATTGTATTCTTGAGTTGTGTTCGTTCGTGGTCGTCTTTCATCTTGCTAAATATTTTACAAAATTCCCTGTTATTAAATTTAGATAAAAAAAAAGTTAGTTTGATTTATTATGAAAAGTTTCAGTAAGAATGCTATTTGTATTATTATTACTTAATTTAGCTATCATTAGGTTTATTATTATAATAATTATAGATTGTTTTTTATTAAAATTTATTTGTGATTATCATTTCTGAATTTAGTTGTGAATTTTAATACTTGATTATAATTACCCTGTTATTGTAATTGGTGTGCATTATTATATTTCTTGTTTATACAACTTTACTGTCTTGTTTATTTTGGTCGTTTACAGTATCCATATGTGGGTCTAGTGTGGTGGTGAGAGAAGTGTTACTTGTCTCATCACCTAATCACAAGTGACACTTATTGATTGTTGTGCTTTTCTATTGTTTTTTCCTAAGATCTATGTACTTTTTTTTAATATGGCCATTTTGTGGACTTTTTCTAATGTGGCCATTTTATAATTTTTTTTAATGTGGCCATTTTGTGGACTTTTTTAATGTGGCCATTTTGTTAACTTTTTTAAGTGATCTTTTTGTAGACTGTTTCAAATGAGGGAATGGGAAGGAAGAGGGTGGGGAGAGAAAAGAAAGAGGGGAGTAGGATAAGAGAGGCAAAGATGGGGGGAGGGAGTGAAGATGGTGAAGAGGGAGTAGAACTCTGGGCAGTGTGAGATAGAGACCATCCCGGACTCTGCCAAGAATACCCTTCCTAGTATACGTATACGTATTTATGTATGTATATTTGTATATATAATTATACATGTATGTCATTGCAACATTTCTCCATTATTCCACTCTTAAAATTATATATATATATATATATATATATATATATATATATATATATATATATATATATATATTGTTTTTTCTGTAGCCGTTTTCCTGCTGCCTTTCAGGACTTGAACCTCACAGACTGAGGCTTAGATATTTGGAGCAGGAATTAGCAGTTGCAGGGACACACTCCCTGATACCTCTCTGGTGGCACTGGCTGTGCCTGGTTGTGGAACCTGGCGCTTGGCAAGTGTGGTTAAATGGAGAGGGGGAGCGAAAATCCGCTATGAATAGCCCCCTTCCTCTTAATGGCTCGATGGTGCTGGGACAAGATCAGGATATACTCGACGGAGGATACACCAAGGAACAGTCTTTTCTAGGCCAGCTGACGGGACTGAATCTGTGGGACGCAGTGCTGACGCCGCAGGAACTCAGTGTATGGGCCGCTTGCGGTGGGCTCCAAGTGGGGGCCTTGTTGCAGTGGAGCAGTCTCAAGTGGAAGGTTCACAACGAGACCGGCGATGTAATGCTGCGCAGAGAGAGACCTTGCGAGTCTTTGAATCACATTGAGGACAGCTTGTTTATATTTACCGAGAAGATGACGTGGCCAGATGCTCACAAATTTCTGCTGACAGCAGGCCTGGAGATGGCAGCCCCTCGGGATGCGACAGAGGTAAAGGCGATCACTAAACTCATAGCGATGAATTATGATCAGTGTACTCTCGGCGTCATAGTAGACCCCGGTACTTGGCTCGGCATTGTGCTCAACACAACGACCGACAAGTTCGAGGATAGCGCAGGTCAAGCGTTTTCGTTTAATAACAAAACACTAAAAGTGAAAAGAAAAAGTAACAAATTCCACATGTCACTGTCAGTTCTCGGTGAATGGAACTTAATGAGCTTGAACGTAAGGATGTGTTTTACAGGCATTCAACGAGGACGAAGGCAGGTGTTTCGTTTACATGGGCTCTGTGATGATGATGAGGAGAAAGCATCTTTTACAGAGATAAGTAAATCCTTTGTTTTAGCTGTGAGTCAAGAGAACGGCATATACTTCCATGGCTATCGTCATCTGCACATATTAAGAGACGCCAACGGCTCCCGTTGGTGTCTTCGTGAGGGTCACTTCGACGAGGTGGCCTGCATCACTTCCGAACTTCCTCCTCTTGGTCGCCACGAATGGCTACTTCGGAAACGGGCCACTGACGCTTCCGAGGCCGATGCTGCTATTCGCATTGACCTCGCCTTAAGCAGATGCACAGACAACCAGTATACGTGTCCTGATGCTACCTGCGTAAATCTGGCAAAGATGTGCGACTCTGAGTTTGATTGTAGCGACAGATCAGACGAAGTTGGGTGCACAACAGCATTGCTGCCCAACTCCTACCTGTTGTTGCCGCCCTCTATACCTCTACCAATCTGGGCCGAGATCAGCGTGTGGAGAATGACTACCTTTGACCTCAAAAGCATGACTTTTCACATCAGCCTGGACGTGAAGCTGTGGTGGTATGATCCTTCGGTGACTTTTGCGCATTTGAACTCGTATCAGACCAAAGAAGTTATAACTGAGAAAGGAAAAGAGGTTAGTGTTGTACTTAGAGATTCTGTAGAACAGTTTTTTACTTATTTTTAAAAGTTGCAGACTCACATATAACAGAAACAACTTAGAAAATATTAAATGTTGCATGAGACATCTAACGTGACCAACACTCAAAATATTGTCAACAACAACATCTAACTGAATTATAGACATTGACTCCTCACTCAATTTCATTTGAATGCCCAGTTCATCCAACAAATAAATTGATAAATCTCATTAAGGCATTTTGTATAAAATAAATTAGCATGATAGTTTTGTTTCTAACACTTCCATAACCATTTCCAGATGTGGCAGCCGGTGTTTGGCATTAGCAACAGCCCAGACAATGCCAACACTGATTCTTCGCTGGAAGTAGAGAGAAGGGGTCCTGGAAAACCAACATCTAATGGTATATACTGATTCATTTTAATATTAGGCACATCATTTGCACGTGCAAATGAGTGTACTCACCTAGTTGTACTCACCTAGTTGTGTTTGCGGGGGTTGAGCTCTGGCTCTTTGGTCCCGCCTCTCAACCGTCAATCAACAGGTGTACAGATTCATGAGCCTATCGGGCTCTGTCATATCTACACTTGAAACTGTGTATGGAGTCAGCCTCCACCACATCACTTCCTAATGCATTCCATTTGTCAACCACTCTGACACTAAAAAAGTTCTTTCTAATATCTCTGTGGCTCATTTGGGCACTCAGTTTCCACCTGTGTCCCCTTGTGCGTGTTCCCCTTGTGTTAAATAGACTGTCTTTATCTACCCTAGTGTGGATCATTCTGTGTGTGCTCTGAATACTTAAGCGACCGGACTCCATTATTTTATTGTAAAAGAAACGACATGCTCACTGCAGTGAGGGTCATTAATGACCAAACTGCAACTACATTTAAGTTGTGTTGTGGAATGTAACTTACATTTATTAACGAGAAAAATACAGCTAATATTGATCACTATAAACAGCATGACGTAACTAATGGGCCTAGTGTGAGAATAATCAAAAGGAAATAGACAAGATGCAATTGATATTCATGGCATGAATTCTGATAATGAAGACCCCTTTGACGAATCTCAAGAGAAAAGTTTATCATGATCGTCCTCACCAGGCAATGAGGCAAATTTCTCCAGATGCTTACCAAAACAGTCTACTTACTCCCAAGAACCAATTTACTGTTGGGTAAACAGAGGCTTCAGGTGTAAGGAAATGTGCACAAATGTTCTCGTTCTTTCCAGGAATCACATTCGGTCCCGATTAATATATGACGTGTTTACAACTGATTGTGAGAGTATTGTATGTGACGTATTCAGGATTGATTGTGAGGCTACTGTATGTGAAGAGTGTTCAGGATTGATTGTTCGATTATTATATGTTATGTAATCTCAACTGATTGTGTGATCTCAATAAGTATCGTGATCTTGACTACAAAAGAAAATTCAGATACAAAAATTTTGACTGTTACTTATTATTGTTGCTTGAAAATGCCAAATAAAACATCAGATATGACAACAATTGATTATTTGTAACTGAAAAAAACTATGAATTGCTTCGTATTTTGCGCCATCCAGACATAATAGAAGTGATCAGGGTATATAGATTTAGAAATTATATGAAACATTTATTATTTATTTTTAATATTGCTTGTCTCTCACACAGGCTACAAGTACCCAGGCTCGGAGAATCCTGTGGTGATGACCACGACGGTGAAGTCAACAGTTCACTGTGACTTCCAGCTAAAATGGTATCCCTTTGATGAACAAACGTGCTCCGTCCTCTTCACGGTAAGGATCCTTATAGTCTCAGTATCTCTCGTAAGTCTCTCAGTATCGAACACCATCTCTCGTAAGTCCGTGTTCGATTCTCTTCGGTCGTAGTGTTTGGGCACTCTCTTCAGCCTCATATCTATATCTCTCGTTGGCCTCATATCCTTCCCTGGTGCTGTAAAGTTATACGCTGGCTTAGCGCGTTCTCTCGCTAAACAATAATAGCTTCAACAGCAGATCTGCAGAAGTGAAGAAAATCAAAGAGATGAATTTCCTCACTTCATGTATTTTCATTTTTATTTTATTTTTGAGATTGAATTTTATTCATATAGTTTCTCAATTGTGCATATGTTTAATTCTCGCAGAAGGTGTATATACCTTTATGAGACATGAATGTATATATACACCTTCATGCAGGCGATGAGTCACAATAACGTGGCTAAAATATGTTGACCAGACAACACACAAGAAGGTGAAGGGACGACGACGTTTCGGTCCGTCCTGGACCATTCTTAAGTTGATTGTGAATGGTCCAGGACGGACCGAAACGTCGTCGTCCCTTCACCTTCTAGTGTGAGGTCTGGTCAACATACACCTTCATGTCTCTATGTATATACACTGAGAGGTATAACCCAGTTCTCGCTGTATAAACACTGGGAGTTTACAGCCTCGGATGAGCTATTGAGCTATATTTACTCTCCTCAAATTTTATGTTCATATAAGGAGGTTCTTGCTACATGTGTAACTCCTTTATGGTTCTCGTTTGAATCTTCTTAAGGTGAGGAATCAATAATGTGCTAACCTAACCTAACCTAACCTTATCTGATTGAGTGTCCCAGTCAGAGAATAATAAACTCTTGGAAGCAGCTTCTTCCCTCTAACAGTTCAATTACCTGCTGAGGTCGTTTAGAGTTCATTCATTAGTCATTATACCTTAGTCATTATTTAGTTTAAGACTTTCTTCCGATTTTAACCCGATGAGCCTTATACCTCTCACTAAGCTGAAGGTTCAGACTGGCAGAGAATGTGGAGGTTATTTTTTCGGGATAGTGTGGCGAACGGGTCGAATAAGTTGCCAGCCAATATCACTGAAGGGAATATAGCTAGCTTTAAAAATAGGCTCGATGGATTCACTTCGGGGAGAGAGAAGGGGAGATGATGAGTCTAGCGGAACATTGCCCAGAATTATTCACTTCGGTGACACTTTTCCCCTGATAATTCCCCTCCCTTCCCTCCTGGTTTTGTAATCCTCCATCCCCCTAACTCCTGGGTCAGGTGACGAACGTTCGGAGCGAGGGCCTGAGGGTGAACAGGTCGTCAGCAGTCAGGGAGTGCCCAAAGACGCTGGAGGAGTACCTAGTAAATGGGTGTACTTTGGAGGAGGAGCTTCACCCCACCGGTAACATCACCCTCGTCCTCCGCCTCTCCCGGCGCTACGAGTACCACTTGTGGACGACCTTCCTACCAACATCTCTCCTCCTCCTCCTTGGGTACGACTATGGCAACTCTCCATCAAAATAATTATTGCTTTTGTAGTTTTGTAATATTATTAATACATAATAAGAGACAGGTTATAATATTGATTACAAATACAAAATCATAAGTATTACATGAGTATTTCCTGATGTCCACTTAATGTGTCCAATGCCTACTGAGAACTGTCCAATTCCAACTGATCATTGTCCAGTACCTAATGAGTATTGTCCACCATATACTGTAAACTGTGCACACTGTATCGTCTATTCGTCTACACAATCACTTTAATATACTTGGTCAGTTACGGGACGCTGATGCTACCGGCGGAATTCTTCAACGAACGGGGGAGCATGAGCTTAACGACGCTGCTGGTGTTCATCTCGCTGTACACGGAGACCAGCTCTTCCCTCCCCAGCACCACCTACCTCAAGCACATCGACGTCTGGTTTGTGTTCAGCCTCACCTTCCTCTCCTCCATCATCACCGTCCACCTCCTCACCTTCCCCAGGAACTTACACGTCGCTCGAGAAGCAGGTAGTCCCTCCTTGGCCACGGGCGTTGGCAAGTGGGTGTCCCCTCAACACATTTCAACTAACGGAGCTAAAAGCAAGAACGAAGAAATCTCGCCGCCCGCTAAGGTTCTACGATTTAGTAGGATGATCTTCGCGGCTGTTTTCCTCGTATTTACTATGATTTATGTCTTGGCTATAATTTGAAGGCGGGATCCCCTGTCGTGAGAGAGAGTGGATGTTTTCAAAATGTTTTTGTTTTAATGTATGTTCATATCACAGGATGTTGATGGTGTCTGCTAGGTCTTAAACCCGTATTCACATAACAAATTGCTTCTACGTGTTGGGTCTTAAGGCCATGTTTACGCTTCTGTGTATGATCTGAAACATGGTTTTTTCTATTATTAAAGTTTTCTCCCTTATGACATCTGTAATTCTCAGTCACAAGAACTGTCGATTACATTAATATAGGTGGTCTGCTGATAGCTACAGTTATATATATATATATATATATATATATATATATATATATATATATATATATATATATATATATATATATATATATATATATATATATATATGTGTGTGTGTGTGTGTGTGTGTGTATATCACGAAAATAAACACGTGATTAAAAATGTGACAATGTCAGACCACGGAGGAAAAATGAAACAGGAATTTCCTTAAGTACTTTCGTATATTAATACATCTTCAGAAGGAGTGCCTCACCTTCAAGGAGTGCCTACACCTTCAGAAGCAGTGCCACTCCTTCTGAAGATGTATTAATATACGAAAGTACTTAAGAAAATTCCTGTTTCATTTTTCCTCCGTGGTCTGACATTGTCATATATATATATATATATATATATATATATATATATATATATATATATATATATATATATATATATATATATATATATATATATATATATATATATATATATATATATATATATATCTACATTTGAGTCAGGTGGATGGGGTGAGGTGGTATTTAATAAGGTATTAATTTCATCAACACAAGCCAGAACATGAAACAATGGGTATTGAATAGAAGTGATTGTAGAAAGCCTATTGGTCCATATTTCTTGATGCTTCTATATTGAAGCGGAGTCTTGAGGTGGGTAGAATATAGTTGTGCATTAATTGGCTGTTGATTGCTGGTGTTGACTTCTTGATGTGTAATGCCTCGCAAACGTCAAGCCGCCTGCTATCGCTGTATCTATCGATGATTTCTGTGTTGTTTACTAGGATTTCTCTGGCGATGGTTTGGTTGTGGGAAGAGATTATATGTTCCTTAATGGAGCCCTGTTGCTTATGCATCGTTAAACGCCTAGAAAGAGATGTTGTTGTCTTGCCTATATACTGGGTTTTTTGGAGCTTACAGTCCCCAAGAGGGCATTTGAAGGCATAGCCAGCCCTTGTTTCTGTAACACCCGTTACATCCTGCAGTATTTAATTATCACTATATTAATATTTTTAAATAGTAAACATTTCACTTTTTAGTCAGATTAAAGTTGAAGCAGAATGTCATAAGCAAGGATGGTGTGCTGAATAAAGATGATTTATTAAGTGGATGGAGCCTTTAGCTGATCCCTTCCTGTGATTGGCTGTTGTGTGAATGTCAACAAAGAGTTTCTACCAATGATATGCCATTTATTATGCACCCCATACCATCTGTGGGCGGAGCTTGGAACCTCCTACCCGAGCACAACAACCCGCCTTATGGGTTGCTGTTTGGCTATTTATAGTGCGTTGGAAAAAAACTAGATGGCGTTAGTTGTATTTTGTGGAGTAATTTGTTATAAGTGTAATTTGATGTCAACAGATGGCGTAAGCTGTACCTTATGGCCACTGTTGACCTGCCAGTTGATAGTGTTCTCTTCTGCCGACAGATGGCATCAGCTGTATTATTATTATTTTAATAATATTATTACAGTAATAATAATGTATTATTATTACTTTAAACACTGGTCTATACGTCTGGTAGCTTATAATAAGGCTTTTATATTATGCTGGTATTAGGTAACTAGAATTCTGCAATTACTTTTTTTTATCTACTGTTGAGGATATGTAAGATAAATGTAAGGTTTTGAGGCTAAGTAACGAAGATAGTTACAAGATACGAGCCAGATGGTGTTGAGATTGCAAAAGGGTATGATAAGAACTTAAGCCAAAAAATCGATGCATAAATGTTCGCAAATATGCGACTAGGATTTATTTCTCGAAAAGTTACCAATAAAATACGCTTTCTAGTTCTTTACGTTTAAAATTAAGACCAGGGATTCTGTCTAACGAAGCTGCAAGCTAAAACACCGTTATCCTATAATGTTCATCTGTAGCTTGACCCTAAATACTCGTTTATTAAACGAATTTATTGTTAGAGTTCATTAGGAATCAACTTTGTTGAGGCCAGAGTTTCTAACAAATACCTTCCTGTGATTGGCTCTTGCGGGGAATGCCAATGCTTATATGAATAAAATGTAAAATAAGAAATACGTCCTTTTGCTCAATAACCTTGTTGTTGTACAAATGAACAACAATTCCTGTTTTATACAAGACAGACTTCCATTTAACTGAATAATATAGACCAATAAGAGGACGGAGGCATTGTATCGCCGATATTATTTGTGTGAGGCAACCCCCCACTGATGACGTCACAAGTTAGGTAGCCAGCCCATGTTTCTGTAACACCCGTTACATCCTGTAGTATTTAATTATCACTATATTAATACTTTTAAATTCTTAACATTTCAATTTTTAGTTAGATTAAAGTTGAAGCAGAATGTCATAAGCAAGGATGGTGTGCTGAATAAGGATGATTTATTAGGTCTCGATTAGTCTCCGTGGTGTAGTGGTAAGACACTCGCCTAGCGTTCCGCGAGCGCTATGTCATGGGTTCGTATCCTGGCCGAGGAGGATTTACTGGGCGCAATTCCTTAACTGTAGCCTCTGTTTAACGCAACAGTAAAATGTGTACTTGGATGAAAAAACGATTCTTCGCGGCGGGGATCGTATTCTAGGGACCTGCCCGAAACGCTACGCGTACTAGTGGCTGTACGAGAATGTAACAACTCTTGTATATATCTCAAAAAAAAAAAAAAAAAAAAAAAAGGTGGATGGAGCCTTTAGCTGATCCCTTCCTGTGATTGGCTGTTGTGTGAATGTCAACAAATAGTTTCTACCAATGATATGCCATTTATTATGCACCCCATACCATCTTGGGGCGGAGCTTGGAACCTCCTACCCGAGCACAACAACCCGCCTTATGGGTTGCTGTTTGGCTATTTATAGTGCGTTGGAAAAAAACTAGATGGCGTTAGTTGTATTTTGTGGAGTAATTTGTTATAAGTGTAATTTGATGTCAACAGATGGCGTAAGCTGTATCTTATGGCCACTGTTGACCTGCCAGTTGATAGTGTTCTTATCTGCCGACAGATGGCATCAGCTGTATTATTATTATTTTAATAATATTATTACAGTAATAATAATGTATTATTATTACTTTAAACACTGATCTATACGTCTGGTAGCTTATAATAAGGTTTTTATATTATGCTGGTATTAGGTAACTAGAATTCTGCAATTACTTTTTTTTATCTACTGTTGAGGATATGTAAGATAAATGTAAGGTTTTGAGGCTAAGTAACGAAGATAGTTACAAGATACGAGCCAGATGGTGTTGAGATTGCAAAAGGGTATGATAAGAACTTAAGCCAAAAAATCGATGTATAAATGTTCGCAAATATGCGACTAGGATTTATTTCTCGAAAAGTTACCAATAAAATACGCTTTCTAGTTCTTTATTTTTAAAATTAAGACCAGGGATTCTGTCTAACGAAGCTGCAAGCTAAAACACCGTTATCCTATAATGTTCATCTGTAGCTTGACCCTAAATACTCGTTTATTAAACGAATTTATTGTTAGAGTTCATTAGGAATCAACTTTGTTGAGGCCAGAGTTTCTAACAAATACCTTCCTGTGATTGGCTGTTGCGGGGAATGCCAATGCTTATATGAATAAAATGTAAAATAAGAAATACGTCCTTTTGCTCAATAACCTTGTTGTTGTACAAATGAACAACAATTCCTGTTTTATACAAGACAGACTTCCATCTAAGTGAATAATGTAGAGCAATAAGAGGACGGAGGCATTGTATCGCCGATATTATTTGTGTGAGGCAACCCCCCACTGATGACGTCACAAGCTAGGTAGCCAGCCCATGTTTCTGTAACACCCGTTACATCCTACAGTATTTAATTATCACTATATTAATACTTTTAAATTCTTAACATTTCAATTTTTAGTTAGATTAAAGTTGAAGCAGAATGTCATAAGCAAGGATGGTGTGCTGAATAAAGATGATTTATTAGGTCTCGATTAGTCTCCGTGGTGTAGTGGTAAGACACTCGCCTGGCGTTCCGCGAGCGCTATGTCATGGGTTCGTATTCTGGCCGGGGAGGATTTACTGGGCGCAATTCCTTAACTGTAGCCTGTTTAACGCAACAGTAAAATGTGTACTTGGATGAAAAA